CATAAAGCTGCTTTTAGACATGGATGTACATAATCATTTAGATGAGGTTGTTCCAGGGTTGTTACATTATGAAGTGGTGTAGCTACCTCGACATTACACCCAAAATCACAACAAGATGGATATACTTGCCTGGAAAGATAAGCCAACAAATTTGCATTTAAAATTTCACAAATTAGATTTGAATAGAAATAAAAAATAGTAACTCATGTTGCTTTTACTATTTGCATTTTTTATCTTTTGATATTTCTCAAGGGTTCAAATTCACTAATGGATTGATTGGGTGATGCCGATCAAGATAACGCAATAAAAATACAAATTTTTCTATACAAGAGAAGCCTTCTTCTTTCTGAGGATAAACAGACACTTGTATAGGCATTTTCTTTTGAGAAAAAGAAGTAGGAAAAGAAAATAAAGATGTGTGTGTATGGACTATCTCGATATAAAAGTATGTTGCTATATTGTAAAGACAAACATTGAAATCTTTATTTGCACCACAATCAATTACTTGATAAAGTTTATAACTCTGTCTTGTGTTTGACCAATTCACTCATTTTCAGGCGAAACTACCAAACATAAGGCAAAGTAACGAAAAAAGTAAAGTATACACAAAAATCTGCATATTGTTGATATTGCATGCGCATTATATAACTCGAGCCTCGTTCATATTCTAACCCGAAATTCTTTGGTTTGGAAAAGTGACAAATAGACTTAATCCAATATCCATATAGAAGACTCTGAATTGTTCGAGTAGATCGGATGTCCCACGTTAGTCAAATCATAATTTATTTATTTAGTGACTCGTAAATCACTTTTAGATAACAAAATACTTAACTGGATAATGACACATCCCGAATTATACAATGGCACTCACTGTACTTTATTTTTTGTAATTGTTTGAACAAAAAGGCTAATTTAAAGACCACAATAATTTTTTTTGGCGATAATGATCTCTGTTCATCTAAATCTTTTATGACTTTATGAAATAATTCTACCGATTCCCAAACCTTTTAATGACATCCAGTTAATTTCTCTGCCTGAGAAGAATGATTGAATTTCTTGCACATGAACCGTATCAAGAATAGTCAGAACAAAATCAAACCTCCTTTAGCATCACTATAATCCAACAATCCCAGTGTGGCTTTAATTGCGAGAACGTGGTGAAATAGTTTATCACTGACACCAGTTTTTCTTTTCAATACGTCCTTAATGTTACTAATCATATGTACGATAAAGTGTCTCTCATCTTTCAAATTCAAATATATTCCAATCAATGTTGTGGCCCTAAACTTTGAGTTTAGGGAAAACTCGAAACCGAAACCTCCCTAAATTAGTTTAGGGAGTTTTTAAAATCCTAAACCTTACCGAAACCTAAACCCTTACCCGAAACCCATACTGAAACTAATTTTATACTGAAACACCAAACTTAAACTCTAAATTACAAATTATTTTTATTTTCTGAACTATTTTTATTGCAAAATATTACCAATTGCTATTATTTATTTTTTATAGTTTTTTTTAATTCTTTTCCTTAATGTAAATTTTTTCTTTGGTGTATTTTTTTAGATTTTCTTCTTCATTTATTTCAATATCATCATCATCATTATCTGAACTTTCATCATTACTTACTATTAATATTACTAATTTTTTCAGAACTTTGAATTTCATCATTATTATTTTCGTTGCAATTTCTGTCTTATTATCAAAACTTAAATTATGTGAATCATAATCCAAATCTTCCTCACACATCACAGCAAAAACATTGGAAACCAAATCATTGGGGTTATATTCATAATTTTCATTATGATGTAAATTCCCTACACTTATATCAATTTTATTTTTGTCACTACCTTCATAATTAAATAAAGAATTATTTAAATCTATGTAGTCTTCTATTAGAAAATCAATATCTCTATTATGGTTATCATAATATTCATAATCGTCAGGATCAATATCTGATTCTGTATCAATGGATTCATTATTACTTTCATTGCCCTGAACACAAATAGAAATATAACAAATAATAAGCGTAATTAGGGTAGTTAGGTTTTGGATATGAATTTAAGTTTGGGTAAGGTTTAGATTTTGTAATCCGGAACCTAAACTAAACAGTTTACCGAAACTGTTTCGTGAAGCCAAAAGGTTTAGGTCACAAAATTGGTTGGACCACACGGACAATTGTAATTAAGGTCATATGCTCTATGCTAGAAATTTTATTCTGTCATTCTTGGTTCACTTTAAAAGCTACGGGCATGAAATTTTGTCAGAATAGATGATGGTTCCCGTTATTTATAATTAATTTTATTTGACCAAAATGTTGCCCTGTTACATACGGCTTTTTATCTCAAGTTCTAATCGATGGATGGATCTATAATATCTTGGTGTCAAAATATTCCTCTCTTTAAAAGCTGCATTTTTTACCATGGGTAATTTCCAAGATTCCGCCAACTGGATTGATTAAAAAAAATTTTTGTCTTCTATATTTGTCAAAGATGCCGTTGGAATTATTTATTTGTCCCGTTCGTTTGTTTCGCTTTCGTGCATTTTATTTATGGCAATAAGCAAAAAAGAAAATGTTGGTATTTATTATTAATTTAAGCAATTTATTTATCTTTTTGATTACTTTATCTATTTTTTATTTTTCATTTCTACGATTTTATTTGAAAATTAGTTAATGTAGTATAGTAATAGAGACTATTATAGAAAGTAAATCCTAAATTTAAGAGGGTGTATATTATTTTTAATTGATTTTTTTTTTTTTTTTTTTTTTTTTGTGAATGAATGACAATAAAAAAGTTAATACAATGAAAATTTCTCAAAGGAAAAAAAATCATTAATAAAGAAAAACACATAAGCATCTTAATGGTTAAATAAAATAAAATAAAAAAGTATTCTTTTGAAACACAACTCCTGACCCTTGACATGTTGTTTTTATTGTTTTTTTTATTTTTTGTTAATTAATTGAGCTGGTTCTTTTGTAATTAAAGGCATTATTCAGATTTACGCAATTTTTAGGGAATACGCCCTTAATGCCACCACGCGTCTCATTAACACCTAGTACCCAACCATCATCATATTCTGCAAGGATGGTAACTTTGTCACCAAGTTGTATATTAAGTTCATCACCCATGTTTGGGGTATAGGTTGCCACAGCCGTATACGATTGTGGTTCGTTCTCTTTCATCTCTATATATAAATTGTTTTGTTGATCTAGTGTTATAATGTCTGCTTGATTTGCCATTTTCCTTAGTCTTCTCTTACGCATAAATGCAAAGATAATAACCATCACCATCACCACACCTCCAGCTGATATAAGAGCAATTATCGTAACCATAGATATTGGTTCAGGTTGATCCACTTTTTTTTTGTTAGTACTTTGAGTCGCAACTACTGATGTCGAGCTGGCTGTTTTTTTTTTTTTTTTTTTTTTTTTTTTTAGGGAAAAAAATTAATATCATATATATATTTTTTTTTTTTTATTGTATACAAATTATTCGATGATAAAGATAAAATACACACTTACTTGCATTTGCATTTTCAACAGTTGGGTTAGGTTTAGGACTATCTGGATCGGCTCTTTCTTCTATAGAATTAACAACATATCGACGGCGTCTAAACTTAGTATTGGAAGTTGTGGCAGGTGATGAACCTTGAAAACTTCCGGCCTCTAATGAATTGGCATTAACATAACATGTCGATGATTTTGAAAGAAAAATAATGAAGGCGGTTATAAATCCAAGGACTAATATGCTACCACGCATATTGATATATACTAATTAAAAGTTTTATTAAATTATTAAAAAATTATATATAAATAATAAAATATTGAATAAGCCAAAAATTAATATCGTAATGATATTTACCTATGGAATAATATTAAGTTGATTTGTTTTTAAGAATTTAATGAGAAATGAAGGTGTAAAATGTTTGCTTATTGTCTTTAACCTCTTATATTGTAAAATAGTACGTACGCATTAAAGAATATAATATAAGAGAGGAAGACGGGAAAGGAGAATAAATAAAATAAAAAAGTAAGAACGTTCCAGGGAAGCATTTTTAAATACTAAATGAATCATGCATAAATATAAACAAACAGATCAAATAACGATAATCGATTTTTTTAATTAACACGCCAGTACACAAAATTCGGATTTTATGGATTTTATACAAACAATTCCTATATTTATTATTTCTATTACTATTAGCTTATAAATTAATCAAATGTTGTGTGTTAATTAATATATTAATGAGAACAACATTTTTCGCAAAATACCGTAATAATAATTTTTGAAATCGGCAAACAATTTACCTTTTAGTTATAATTGGAATTTTGTTGCAGCGGGTAGTAGATAAACTAGTCATTAACCAAAAACCTTTGTCAGAAATGTACGGGGTAAAGAATTTTTATTTGACTCAATCCAATTCATTCCTTGACTTTTTTAATAAATAATATTATCATTCATATTAAAAAATTAAATACACTACTCTACAATGAATAATGATTTTCATTCACCAAGATAATAGAAATTGTAAAATATATCAACCATTTTTAATCTTGAGTGTTACTTGATGATATATTGAGATGTACTCTTTGAACTATTTTATGAGTTCGTTACTTGACATCCTAAACCATCTTCGATCTGGTTGATAGGACCCGAGTTGATAGCCATGTTTACTTTGAGCATGCTTATCATGTAACTAAAAACTAGTGTATCATTTATATACAAATATTTTTGTTAGTTTGATCATGTGTAAAACAATGTGGTAATTATTGCTTGTTTATCACCAATATGTATATTTCCCCACTAATAAGTACTACGTAACAAAATACAAAAAAGGAAATTTTTCCAATTTACATCAATTTCTTTTTTTGTGTGTATACACATCAATTTGAATCATTTATCAATTATTTCTTGACGTAAATTTCCACATACCGGATAACTTTTTGTGGTGCACTCTTCTGTATGAATTTCGTTTTGAGAACGAACAAGCATCGTCTAAATTTAAAATAATGATAAGTCTTTCCTTGTTGATTTTGGAGGAACAAATCGCCAATCAATAATAGTTACAAGTGTTGGTGTTACCAGTTTAATTTATTGTGCAACGACGACCTAAATCAGGGCTATATTTAGAATTCGGTATGAAATTAAATCTTATCTCTCTCGATGTACGAATTTTGTATATACATATTTGCATTGGATCGATTGTTGTACGGATTTTATAAAATTTATTATTATTTTGTTAATCAAACACACAAAATAAACAAATACAGAAATATCAGATTCAAAAAAATTATTGTTAAATGAAATATTAGAGACCGAAAGATATGAATTGCATGATGATGGCATATCTTTTTTTTTTTGTCATTATATCGGTAATGTAAATCAAAATTTCGTTAAATTAACACCAATTGATTTCACGTCTTACATGAGCAAATGTTGCAGAAGCAGAAAAAAGCATAAACACAAAAAATAATAAATTTTCACTATATTAATATTAGTTAGTTAATTAAAATCAAGCTCTATTCTACAGATTGAGATTTTTTCATTTAAAAATCGTGTTTGTTATACAAAATTCCAAAAAAGGATATACGGGTTTCAAAAATCTTTATTTGTGACCAGGGTCACTGGTCTAGACTTCATCACTTCAGTGTTCTCTCAAAAATATCGCAACAAAGCCAAGATGTTGGTAAAGATGTTTGACTTCTTGAGCGTGTATGACAAATGAAATTTATCTTGCCGCAATACAGATTCTTTATTTGAACCTTGTAGATGTTAGATCGGAAGGTTATTTGGATTTTATTTATATATGATCAACCGATGTAACTTGGCTATTGAGCTACTTCAAGATGGGGAAGCATCAGCAAAGGTTTCCAAGTGATGGTTGACATGGCCCTATTCTTCAAGTTGTGAAGGAATGAATAATTATTGATATTCGAAATAGTAAAAAAGGACCTTCAAACCATTGTAGACAAATCTTTATTCATGTCCTTTGTTCTAAAAACGGATGATATCTCTGAATTTTCAAATGATCTGAAAATATATAATATAACCACTTTCAAGCATTAAAGCTTTTGTTATGTACGAGCTGACACATATTTTTGCATTGCAAGAAAAATATGGATATTTTTTTCCTTGCAGTTTAAGTCATGTCAACCACCACTATTACATCAATCATTCACGCTATTCAAATTCGATTCTTCTCATTTTGTTGTTTTCCCTTTGATTTTTTTCTTACTTTCTTCATTTTCATTCCCTTTTACGAAAAAGAAAAACCACCCACCCACGCACATACATGCATACATATTAATATATTAATATAGAAAGTAGAAAAAGTCGGATGACCAGATCAAATATCACGTACTTTAGAGATAACTACCTGCAAAATTTGATTACACCATACATGCAATAATTTATATGTTGATTAGCGCACTTTATTAGAACTTGTAAATTTCCATATTTAGTACACTTTATACGATTTATCTATTCGTCTTAAAAGTGTGGACACACATATATATTTCCAAGAGTACAAAAGTTCTCGAGACACAGAGTATGAGCATTCCAATGCACCCGTGTGTCAGTGGTATATAGTGTTGGAGTTTTGATGTGCACGCTGCATGGAGGAATTAAATTTTCACATACAACATGCACATTGCAAAATCGATCTTTTTACACTGGCAATGTACCAGAGTTCCATTGTTCGAGTATATCTGTGGCTCGCTCCTTCTCTTGTTATTCTAACATCTTTTGTCCAAAAAAAGAGTAATCTGGCCCGGGGGATATGATGTAATGAAAATTCAAACGGGGATAGGGCAGTCTCTGAATTGATTGTCACATTCATTACATTCAGGTTCTTTTAAAGAGCCTGTTGGAAATTCTGATGCTAGTTGATATAGATAATTACAGCTGGGAGGAGAATGTTCTGTTAAACATGACACCTAAAATCAATATGTTAGATTTTTACAATTCCTAAATGCATACGTACAATCGGGAAGGAAACCCAGGGACCCAAGCAGAGTCTCAGCCACTGAAATTTCCCATCACCAATTTGGATGATGAGGTAATGGAACTTTAGCCCTACACGGAGAGGAGGGTTAAAAGTGTCAAGGGTTTATTTTCCAACCCTTCAATTATTTATATCTGCATGCATGGCCTTGGTATTATCATTATTCGGATAGATGTAATTATTTAAATCATTTATTATGGATAATAACATCAAATGGTATAATGATGCGTGGCGTTTAAAAAGGACAATGTGTGGGTAGCATTTGAAAACGTTAGTAGCATTTTAAAAGAATTTTAAAAAAATGATGTGTATCAGGAACTTTTGTCTATTTTGACATGCCATACATTTGCATTTTAGTTTAAATTATATGATTTTTTTAAAAAATTGTAAATTTAATAAAGTCTCGACTTATACATGCAAGCCTAAATTGTTTTGCTTTTTGACATTGGAATAATTTAGGCTATTGACATCAGTAATTAAAAACATGCGTAATAATAATTATGATAATGTCTAAATGATCCTTCACCATATTGATGTGGACAAGTACAATTAAATAATTCATTGATGGGCCAACCAACAGTTTCTGCAATTATTAAAATAAATTTGACAATTTAGATTAAACATTTTTATTTCTAATGTACGTTGTACAACATATGATGTTTGGCACACCAAACTTTTGAAAACATACTAATGGCTCCCCAACTTGGAAAAAAACGTGATACGACATATCTGTTTATATATATATTTTTTTTATAATCAATTTTTTGTCATTGATTGTCGATCATCAGATATGACGACAGAAGATAACTTCATAAAAGACGTTTATGATACTAAACAGCTACCATTAGCTTTTTTTGAGCCGTTTACAAGACAAAATAAAGTTCCCGGTGATATCTTTGATAATGCTAGTAAATATATGTTGTCTTTTGTATATATACTCTAGTGTTTAAACATTATTTAATTTCTTGTTTTTTTGAACCTCTCCATAGGTAAAACTTTACTCTTAACGACTCAATTTTTAATTTCAATTTCACTTGGTTCTGTAACTCTTCTTACTTTTTGTTTTTTGAGGACTCGATGGCGTTCAATGTTTGCTCCACGTTTAAGGCTTAAAAGGTGCATTCTCGACTTCAACTAATTAATAATAAATATAAAATATCCATTCATTTATCTATTCACGTTTTTAAAAATTAGGCTTGCGCCAGATCCTTTACCATCATCCTTTTTTGGATGGATAGTACCTTTATATAAAATTCCCGAATCAACAGTCCTGAACAGGGTTGGTTTAGATGCAGCTGTGGTAATTATTATACTGTAATTAATTTTTTTTATAATCCATTAAAATGGTTTAATTTAATTAACTCTTCATAATCATAATAATTATAATCATTACTACCATCATCACCATCACCACCACCATCATCGTCGCCATCATCAGCTTTTGGCGTATTTCAAAATGTCCTATAAGCTTTTTGCATTTTGTAGTGTTTTTGCATTAGTATACATGTCACCAATAAAATTATATGAATTAATATATAAGGATCCAGATGATTCTCACGGTGATGATCCTAATGTCGATAATAATTTTGGTAATGATCCTATCGAGCTTCCAGTAGACGATAGGCCAGAACCATTGCCTGTCTTAATTTCATATGCTCTATTCACATGGGTCTTTTCCATCGCATCTTATTATTTTATGTTTTACAATTATCGGGAATTTTCTAATGTAAGGCATAGATATTATCTTAAATGGAAAGAAACAATTACTTCTAGGACTGTCATGGTAACCGTTATTCCAAAGAGATTACAAACAGATAGAGCGCTTGCTGAATTTTATGATTCATTAGGTTTTGGTCCTGTTGAAAGTGCTGTTATCTATCGATATGTAAGGAGGTTAAGACATGCAATTAATGATAGATTAAAGGTTTTAAAAAAATTGGAAATGGCATATACAGAATATTTGGGGAACCCGTGTACAGATGATGATTATGATCGTGATGAAACGCTAAAAGCATTTGAGCATGCACAAGCCATAGACCCTTCATCAACTGATGGAGTGACATCTGCTGTTCTTTCACCTGTTGGTCAAAATCGTCCTACAATGAGGACTGGATTATTTGGATTATTTGGTAAAAAGGTGGACAAAATTGAATATTATACCGAAAAATTTAATGAAATTGATAAAATGGTTCAACGAGGTAGACGTGGTGCTTATCATTCTTCACCAGTTGGATTTGTTACCTTTGAAAATATAACTAGTGCGGTAAATACTATATATAGTAGTAGTGATTTTTTTAAAATCAATCAATATATTTTTTTTTGCTCCTAACCATGAAATTCTTCTTTATTAAGCAATTAGCTGCTCAAATTCTTATAAGACCTGAACCTTTTCAATGTCAAACTATTCTTGCACCAGAGCCACGTGACATGTATATTAAATTATCTTTTATATGAATTTATAATGTTTTAAATTAATTTTTAATAATAATGAATATATATATATATATATATATGTATGTATGTATGTATTTTCAAAAATCTACAAAAGTTATTGGAGTAATCTTACAATTAGAAATAGGGAATATCTTATTCGAACCATATGGGTCAACATTATTGTATTCTTTATAGTATTTCTTTGGTCTGGGCCTATAACATTTTTTGCATCGTTGTTAAGCTTAGAAGCTTTATCAAAAATATTTCCTTGGTTAGCGAATTTGGCAAATAAAAATGAAGTGTTGAAAGGTTTAATCCAAGGGACACTTCCTACCCTTGCAGTATCTTTGTTTAACATAGTTGTTCCAAAAATTATGATTGGTAAGTTATTAACTAATTTGCACATATAGTTATTTTTCTATATTATAATATTTGTATATTTATTCTAAATAACACATTTTTTTTATTCATAACTCGAATAGTTCTTTCCAAACGTCAAGGATTTCATGCACGTAGTGTGATCGAGTTTTCAACATTTGCCAAGTGTGTAATTATTAAATAATTATATTAATTTTTTTTTTATCAATTAACTTATGACTAATTTCACATTCTCTTTTTTTTTTTTTTTTTTCGTGAAAATAGATATTATTTCTTCTTATTGTTTAATGTTTTACTTGCCTTTACTATTGCTGGTGCTGTGTTTACTACTATACAAGAAATTATTGATAATCCAACAGGAATTGCACATAAACTGGCAACAACTTTACCGCAAGTAAATATAAATATAAATATGATCATATCTTTTATATTTTTTAAACAAGTTTTTAATTATATAAAAAAAATTTTTTAAAAATGAACACAGGTAGCATCATTTTTCATTAATTTTGTCATGATTCAAGGAATTGGATTATTTCCGGCACATTTATTACAAATAAAAGAAGTCGCAATTGTTATATCCAAAAGATTAAAAGCAAAAACACCTAGAAGTTATGCATATGCTAATGCACCACCATTTTTGGATTATGGAGAAGAATTACCACCTATGGTTTTAATTTTTGTAATAGTATTGGTATATTCATCTATTGCACCAATAATTTTACCTTTTGGTGCAATCTATTTCTTTCTTGGTTACATGGTATATAAATATTTGTTGTTATACGGTACGTACTAAATTTAATAATATTGTTGTTGTCGGTGTATTTAAAAAAATATATATTAATTATTTTTTTAAAATAAAAAATATATATTGTAAAAGTATACTTCCATCCTTATGAAACCGCTGGTCTCGCATGGCCAAAAATCTTTAGAAGAATTACAATCGGACTTTATATATACCAAATTATGATGATTGGTTACTTGCTACTTAAAGAGTCTTATTATTTGGCAGCATCTGTCTTTCCTACCCTTATCATGACTGCTGTATTTTTTTATTATGTTAACACGGCATATGATCGTAATGCTGCATACATTCCATTAAAGACATTAAAAGACGAGGAAAAAAAATCAACAATTAACACAAATGATGATGTTACTTTTAAACAAAAAACTCCTGACAATGACACCACCACCACAACTGATGAAAATTCAAATGCAAAAGGTAAAACTGTAATACAAGAAGCATCGTCGTCATCATCATCGTCATCGTCACCGTCACCGGGGGGTGTGGGACACGGTCTTTCTCAAAGAGATGTGTTAGAAGATGATTTATATCATGCAGAACCAGATATGTACACCGACTACAGCCAGCCACCAATGACTTTGTATAAAGGAGTCTTGAATACAGGAATGAGGAATTACATTGCACCTGCATTGGTTGGCACACTTCCTTGGCTATGGTTGCCAGTCAAAAGACCAAAAGTAACTAAAAGCACAGGATGGTTAAGAAATAAAATAGGAATATTCAAAAAATATTCTAGAAAATCGAATTATGGTACTTCACGTTCGATTGACGACGTTAATGATGATAGCAACGATGAATTGATAAATGCTAATTTGATTGAAGAAGACTTGTTAAAACAAAAAGAAGCAGATTCTAGAATTCGTGAAAATTTATACAAGACATTACAAGATCCTAATAATCCACATAAAGTATACTATTGTCGTCATGACAGAGATATACAATCAGGGAGTAAAGCAGCTGGTGGATTTAGAAATCTCCTTGGGCTTTCATCTACAAATGCTAATGATCCTGAAGGAAGGAACAAATAGAGAGATCTGGAAATAATTTTGGGGAATAATTATTTAAATTATTATATATTCATATGTACTTATATATGTAACAATGTATTTAGGCATTTTCGTTTCATTAAAGAAAAAAATCAATTTTACAAATTGTAAATAGCCTTTTCCATCTTTTAAATAAATTATGACTAGGGCCCTGAAAACTATTTGTGCCGCAGCTGGCTTAAGTATAAATCAATGAAATGAAAATCAACCGTCTCAAAAAATATATGGTCTCTCACGTGACCATTAAGATATTCTTGAACTTCGGAAAATTATAAGAATACCTGGAAGCCGAACCTAGAACCCGATTTATTTTGCGACGAGAATCCAAATAATAGCACAATATCATTTGCTTTTATTAAAGAAGTAGATTATCTGGATAAAGATGTGGGTTTCATTTTAGAATTGGTTCGTTATACGTAAGTTTATTTGATAATGCTAGCTCAACATTTTGTTATTTTGCATACATCATCATTTGGGCCTCTAATACTGCACTTCTTTGCAATCAGATGTGAAATGTTAGCAAAAGGAATTCCCCAACGAAAAAAAACACAGAAAGAGACATTGATGTTTTCATCAAAAAGACACATATTTTCATGTTTTGATGATATCCTTGATAGTCACTTTTAGGTTATACTATCATTCTTAAGTACTATTTATTGTTGATAATAATGCTAATTATTTCTCAAATAAGTAAAGAAATGGTATTTAGGCCATCTCGAGATCGATGGAGCGAAGCAACAGATGCCCCAGATAATGTAGAGGATATTTAGATTTACTAATATTTTTTTTTTTTGATTACTAACAGATTCCTACAGAAACATGATATAGGAAAAGTTTTGTCATATGATCAAGAATTTTCTCTTTGTGAACGTCCAGGTTCTAAAATCGAGAATGATACAAAATTTTTTTCAGATATCCTTAAGGTCCTAAAAACGCTCAGAGACATGCGCAAAAGCCTTGTTAAAGTGATCACAATGGGTCACTTTCAAAACCAGTTTTACGTTTTGTACAAAGTTACTTATGCCCGGATTTGCATCATCATCTTTTTTCATACGTGTTGTTCTTGTAATCTATGGAGGAGGTTGAAGCAAGATTTGATATCCCTACATCTTATGGTGAAATTGGGACGGTTGTTAAGATTGCACATGTTACGTTGCAAATTAAGGTTTGTAATATTCAAATTTCAGTGAATTCAGTGTCATGATTAACACTTTCATTTATTATGACCTGCAGAAATTGTTGCGTTCTTATAAAGGAAAGAGCAGAAAAATAAAAGTTTGCCTCCCGGAAAAGTGATGGCGACAAAACCAAAGGAACCTCGATCACTGCAGAAACCACAAAATCAAGCACGAATCCATTAGTATAGTCTGTTGAAAGCATGTGTTGTGTTAAGATGTAATATTGCTAATATCTGGAATATATTTTTTTATTTCAGTAAATGTATTGGATCATTTACCACTCACTACTCACAAAAATTGATAATTAACGCACGATGATGTAAAGAAAGAATGCATTTTAATAAAGTTTGCCCACATTAGGTTTTATATTCTTTAACAATGTATGTGTTTGTATTCAGTGTGATGTGGAGTATTGAAAAAATAATAATTGAATGTAAAAATGGAAAATGTATTTTTCATTTGCATACATTAACAAAATTATAAATATTGTTATCAAGGTAGGTATGGATGTGAGAGAGCATAGGTAATAGATGATCATATATTGAAATGGCAGTATAGCTAGCGAATAATTTTGGGTTTACGAATATTTTTTATTCAGATGGTCAAAACCAGAGAATAATTTTAGATCAAAATAATCTTTAAAATACGTGAAATTTCGGACATGTAGAATCTCTTATCATATATAATCAGCTAACATTATAACATCAGTACATATTTATTATAACTATCGAATAAATATAAAAAATTAAAAATGTTATGCAGATTCATCCTGATGGTGAAGTTGATGTTGGTGGTGAAGACACCATGTAAATCAATACTAAGTGGTGATAATGATGACGATGATTGCGTTGTTACCCTGGTAACAGAAGTTCTCCCCAACATTGAGATCCTGCGAAATGAACTCAATTACATGATCATATTTCGGAACCAGATTAGTCTGACTACAAATTTTTGAATTCTGAGTCTTCATTTTCAGTAATTTAATGCAACATCAACTACTTTGAACAAGATTCTCTCCACTTTCTTCTTTGCATTTTCGTAGATCATTTCCACAATACGTAGTAGTAGTAGTATTTAAACTTCGACTTTTGTGCATAGATGTTAGCCAAAATTGAATTTGCATCGGCCAAATATTTTGGCAGCATTCAGGCTTTTCCATATTAATGATCATAAAAAACCATACAGAACTTTGACTATTGAATCAAAGAATTTAAATAATTTTAGGTATAAATTTTGGCGGCTACTATGAAAAATTATTTTGGCATTTTTGAACTTGGCAGTGATCATTTACTAACCAAAGTAATTTTGGTGATTGTTACTTCCAACTTCATTTGCCCTTTTTACAATATTCACAGTTGTCATTTCTTCTTGAACAAGAAGATGTTTGTCAATCATAATATATTCTATGACGTTATTTCACATAATAACAACTGTCCTTTGAACATAATTTTATTGAATGTCAAGTGATGTTTGTAAATTCTTTTAATACGCAAATTTATTATGTTTTAATGTTGGTAAAAATGGACTAGTATTTGGCCATACTGCGCAACAATGAATCAAATCAACTTGTTTTGTTTTGTTATTGTAATTAATAAAAGAAGTATGTTAATCAACCTCAAATATTGTAAAAGTGTCACTTTTCACAAATATCAATAAAATGGATAAATATTTTAAAATACATATATATATATGTAAAAAATATAACCAATAAACCAATAAACCAACCAGCCAACCAGCCAATTAACCAGTTAACCAGTCAACTCAACCCAAACTCTTGCATTTCTAAACATTCTTAACCATGGTCCAAACTCACCCCAGTTATTGGCTTCTTTAGGATACCATGAATTTGCTTCTTTGATAATAACGCGTTCAGGATGTGGCATCATTGCCAATACTCTGCCATCAGGTGTCTGTATTCCTGTGATACCAGCAGGACTACCATTTGGATTATATGGGTATCTTTCAGTAGGTTTGCCATAATTATCAATAAATCTTATTGCTACAAGATTCTTTGAAAATAAATTGGAAATTTGTTGCTGTTCATTCAAAAATTCAGCTCTACCTTCACTATGAGCAACTGCTATTGGAAATCTTGAACCCTCCATCCCTGTCAAAAATAATGATGGCTTTGTATTATTCTCTATCAATGATGGTGATGATGATGATGATGAGCGTGAAGTAATTTCAACTAAACTGAATCTTGCTTCAAATTGTTCACTTCTATTTCTTTTAAATATTGGCCAATCTTCTGTACCAGGTATTATTTCTTTTAATTGACTTAAAAATTGACAACCATTACAAATACCAAGGGTAAAAGTGTCATTTCTTTCTTTGAAAAAATTTTCAAATTCTTTTTTCACATTGGGGTGTAATAAAATAGATTTTGCCCATCCTGATCCAGCTCCAAGTACATCTCCATAAGAAAACCCACCACATGCTACAATCCCCTTGAAATCTTTTAATGAAACTTTTCCTGATAGCATATCAGACATATGTACATCAATTGGTTTGAATCCTGCCAAATAAAATGCAAATGCCATCTCCATATGACCATTTACACCTTGTTCTCGTAATATTGCTATTTTTGGTTTTAATGTAGTTGGTGATTTCACAAATGGCAGGGTCACATCTTCTGCTGGATCAAATGTCAAATGAAAATGTAAGCCTGGATTATTTACATCTAAAATATTATCAAACTCTTCTTTAGCACAAATACTATTATCACGTAATGATTGAATTTGGAAAGAAGTTTCTGACCAAATTCGTTGTAATTCCATGCGTGTTGATTTATATATTATAGAACTTTGAAATTTTATTATAACATCTTGATCATTTGATACTGAACCAACACAATATATATGATTTTTAGGAAAGTTTGATTTTGTAAATATTTCAATAATTTTTTCTAAATCTTGTTTTCTAATTTGTATAACAGCACCAAGTTCTTCATTAAAAAGTGACCTGATAACATCACCATTTTTTACAATATCTGAAATATCTAATTTAACTCCTAAATGACCAGCAAATGCCATCTCAACCACTGTGACAAATAACCCACCATCAGATCTGTCATGATAAGCTAATACTAATTCTTGATCATTTTGACGCACCTTTTGTATACCTTCAAAAAATGATTTTATGATTTGTGTACTTTCAACATCCGGAGCTTCAGCTCCAATTTGTTGATACACTTGTGCAATAGCAGATCCACCCATTCTTTGCTTTCCCATAGCTAGATCAAAATAAACCAAAATGGTATTTTCTTGTGCATCATAATGTAATTGTGGTGTTAATGTCTTATGAACATTTATAACAGGAGCAAATCCTGTAATATTTAAGCTTAATGGTGATGTGACTTCTTTACGAATACCATTATCAATATGATCACTCCATTTCATTTTCATTGACATTGAGTCTTTACCAACTGGAATGCTGATTCCTAAAGCAGGGCACAAATCCATGCCAATTGCATTGACAGCTTCATATAATCTAGCTCCTTCACCTTCATGATTTGCAGCACACATCCAATTTGCACTCAATCTGATATGGGATATTGATGTAATATTGGCTGCAGCTAAATTAGTGATTGCTTCAGCAACAGCCATTTTAGCAGATGCTGCTGCTGAAATCAAAGCAACAGGTGGCCGTTCTCCCATTGCCATTGCTTCACCAGTTATAACTTCAGTGCCATATGATGATATAGTGACTGCCACATCAGCCACTGGAATTTGCCAAGCACCTACCATCTGATCACGTGCCACCAACCCTGTTATTGAACGGTCACCAATTGTAATTAAAAATGATTTTGAAGCAACTGTTGGAAGTCTTAAAACTCTATTGATTGCATCAGCAATTAAATCATTTTGTAAACTTGTATCTGATATATAACTTTTTAAACTAGTGTCAAATGGAGAAAATTGAGTAATTATTTTCCTTGTTTTGAATGAAATTTTTGGTAAATTACCAAATAAAATTGACATTGGTAGATTTATTGGTTCATTGTTAAATAATGAATCTTCAACTATTAGTTTTTGCTCTTTTGTTGCAACCCCAATATTGGCATAGGGACACCTTTCTCTTCTACATATACTTTCAAACAAATTTATATTCTCAGGGGATATGGCTAAGACATAACGTTCCTGAGCTTCATTACACCAAATTTCCATTGGAGACATTCCAGGGTCATCATTTGGAATGTCTCGTAATCTAATGATACAGCCTAATTCACTATCATGTACAATTTCTGGTACTGCATTAGACAACCCACCTGCACCAACATCATGAATTGATTGAATTGGACTTTTTTCACCTAATGAAGCACAAGAATCAATAACCTGTTGACATCGACGTTGCATTTCAGGGTTTTCACGCTGCACAGAGGCAAAATCCAACTCAGCTGAACTCGAACCACTAATCAAAGATGATGCTGTGCCACCACCAATACCAATTAACATTGATGGACCACCCAAGACAAATAAATGTGTGCCAGGTGCAATTCTTTTCTTATGAATATGCATTGGTCTAATGTTACCTAAACCACCAGCAATCATTATAGGTTTATGATATCCACGAATTTCTTTCTCATTAACAAGGATGTCAATATCACCATTATCATTGTTAACTTTTGGAATCTCTTGAGCAAAAGTACGAAAATATCCTGTAATGTTTGGTCTACCAAATTCATTGTTAAATGCAGCACCTCCAAGTGGGGCCTCAATTATGATATTTAATGCAGAAGCAATATGAGAAGGCTTACCGAAATCAATTTCCCAAGGTAAAACATAACCAGGTATTAAAAGATTTGATACACTGTACCCTGTTAATCCTGCCTTAGGCTTTGAACCTTGACCCACAGAACCTTCATCACGGATTTCACCACCTGATCCCGTGGAAGCACCAGGAAATGGTGAGACCGCAGTTGGATGATTGTGTGTTTCAACTTTTGCAACAATATGAACATTTTCTTGAGATAAACTGTATTCAAATTCCTCATTCTGATCTGGTGAAAACCTTGTAGCTTTGAATCCTTCTAATACTGCAGCATTGTCTGAATAAGCAGAAAGTGTTCGATCAGGATTCAATTTATGAGTGTTTC